GACTTTTGTGTGGTCGCAGTCTCCTTGATGGAGTTTTCTTGACTTTTCAACATTAATTAGTTGCAAGATTCTTTCCAAGTTTTGGTGATGTCCTCATATGACAGACGAAACCTGAACACACTATCATCCAATCAGAAGGATATATTCCAAGGGCTGTGTCACACCCACATTCCTTCGAAATGGAAATAAGCTAAACTCTAATAAGAATGTCTTAATCTTTCCTCAACAAAGTGGATTTTTAAAGAAAAAGCAAATTCATATCATCAGAAGCAATGCGATATACTTATTTCTTCTTAGCGTTTTCAGCATCTGCACAAGAAGTAATCAAAACTATAATGAAAGGCCCCTAGATCTTGAACTTTTATCTCCTTTACGCCAGCAAATAGACCCTTTTATCATTTTGGCAATGAGTGTCATGTGGTCACGAAAGAAACCCCATCATTTTGTTAACTTTATCGGAAGATGTTGCTAAAATAACCACCTTGCCATACTTTAGAAACTATAAGCCAATACGTAAGATCCATTATGAAAAGGAGTTAATCAAAAAACAATAGGAACAGCTAAAAAAATTTCGCCTGGAATAGAAGAGACTATTCAGTCCGATCTGTAGTTTACCTTTTTCAGAAGTTTGTAGTATTACTTCTCATAAAAAATTATCGAGAATGGGATCACTCATCAAATCTTGTGATTGGTAAAGTGACCAAGAAAATAATTTTCAATAAAATGTAACGCTATGAGAATAATTAAAGTGGAAATAAAAATGGAAATGCAAACATAATATGGCAATCTTTTATGACATTGTTTGCATGAGAGGTAAAGGCTAGTAAACTGTACAAACGGAAAGCACAGAAAACACTAAATATTTGCTTTTACTGAGAGAAAAGTGAAGATGTAAAGTATTGGTACTGATAGAAGCATAAAAAACCCTATAATTAAGATTTAGTGGGGAATAATTTTATTAATTAAGATAAAGAAGCGAAACCATTACACACATATGAGAATGCAGGAAACGCATAAGGAGGCTAAAGAACACTAGGAGAAGAATAACTTTAAGGGATAGAGTAAAGCAGTATAAAAGAGGAATGAAAACGAAAAATATGAAGAAATGAAATCTAGCAGAAAGTATTGCAAAATATAAAAGAATAAAAACCTTGAAATCGGCCAAACAGAACGAAATTAGAGATACATTAGCGGCCAAATAAGGTATTAACTCGAAACTTGGAAGGAAATTATTAATAAATATATTAGGAAAGATTTCGACAATTGAAAATAAGCAAAGTCGAAGTCTACATAAGGCCAATTTGGACGAAAACTTGCAAATAAGTAATTGTTGACAGGATATAAAGACTTGAAGTCAAGCAGAAACAAATATTAGAATGTATTAAGACAATAGAACCTCCAAACAAATTTGAATTTCAATGGAAACCACAGTTCAACTCATATCATTGTGGGAAAATTCTTCTTCTACCAGTCCTTCATCACCTTAATCGAAATTGGGTGAATACATCTCATACTACTGATTTACTGGTAGTCACGAAAACAATACTTAATTCCAAAAATAAACATTTAACAAATGAGTTCTCTGTTCTGACTGCAGTCTTAATTGGTTGCACCAATGTGGTTTGACCTCATTCTCGCAAGGTATTGTTGTCAGGGCGACCCAAATGAACGTACATGGTCCAAAGTCCTTTGCTATATTAGCTATGGGAATTCTCAGGGCCCACGGTCCGATGCTGGGAGTTATCATAACTACTATAGCAGAGAACTTTGTACAAGCTGCGTTTAATTAGACCACCCTGACAACACGACCAAGCTGCGAAAACGAGGTCAAAAATGTAAATACTTGTTGTAAAGTAGGATAGTGGAAATAAAATTCAGTTTGATATGGGAAAAGACGTGCAAATAAGCAAATACCGTGAAAAATTATTTAAGAAAGAGGGTAATAAAATATCAAATAAATAGGAAAGAAATAAGCAAAGAATGGATAAAGCGATAAAATATAAAAAGTATCACATGCATAGTAAAGTGTATATACATGTTATTTTATATTTTACTGTTGTATATGCCTTTTTGTCTATTTCTTACCTATTTATTAGGTATTTTATTTCTCCGTTCTATATATAGACATAATAATTATTATAAGTGAAGTATTTAAAAATAAGTAAAAAAAAGCATTAACAAAATTAAAGCATTAAATGTTTATGGAGTCTGGTGTTTGGTCTAAAAACGAAAGCAATACTATAATCATGAATAGTAATGAAAATACAAGAGGAGAACTAGAACGATAACATTCATTCACTCAGGAGAATTCAATTATTGTACTGGAATAAGAAGCAGGCAAAAGGAAAGATGTGGAAAGGAGGAAAGCTGAGCGCCTACGCTGGAAGCGATAATCTTGAGGCTTGAAACCACTTAGTGCCAGTTTTGAGCTTGCCTCCGCCATCACCGTAGGTGACCAATTAGAACCCCGCAGGGAATCGAATTGCCTCTCGACAACAATTTAGCCCAGCTACAGCCATACTCACCGACCCTTCATTCTTCTGCATAAGATACAAGTGGCGCATGTTTGCACTATGCCAGCATTGCGGGCACTAAGTAATCAAAAGGGAAGCCACTGTCTTTGGTGAAAGACTTTGGCCGACACAAGTAGCCCTTCGACATTCCACTTGTTTTCGCGTCAGCCTCATCGCGAAATGCTTTCTGTGTCGACAAAAATAGGCATAACTAGGCCGAACCGCATCATAGTCGTGCGCACTAAAATGTTTCACTATACTTTCCTATAAAATACACATAATATACTATACTATCCCATAGAAAATTCTATCCTAAAAGGCAATATGCTATGATATTGTAATAATCACTATTCCTTATTACCTTAGGCCATGCTTCGATTAAGTACCATTCTAAAAAAGAACATTTTAGAATATTTATGCCTTAAGGTTTTAGTATTTCTATTCTTTTTTGCTTTATAGCAGACATATTTTGGTGTGCAAATTTAAGAGAATAATTACAATTTTCAAATCACCATTATAGTTATGAAGTGTTACTGTGTTTCGATGAATCTCATGAGATAGCATTATTGTTGGGACTTTCATTTCGTATGAAAGTGTATGAAGAAGAGATTCGAAATTCGATTTCACCAGAAGAGGACAGTTAAAGCCCGTCGTCCTGCAGCCATTTGGCTTTTATACGACCTTCAGGCTGACGCAATCCACGAGATCTCCTCACTCTTTTCAGGTGAAAACGAGTTGACCTTTCGTCCGGCACATGATAGACAAGGTCTCGTGGACGACTTCAATCTGAATAGTTGCGGTACAACGGGACTCAACCGTCCTCTTCTGGTGAACTCGACCTTCGAATCTCTTCTTCATGTACTTGCATACGAAATGAAAGTTCAAACAATGATAGCATTAGAGTTGCTCAATCTCACCCCAAAATATGATTATTTAGCAATTATGACCTAATCGCACTACAATTTTGGCATAACAGTTTGTTTTTATCTGCACGTACAATTTATAATTGCTTAAACAGTTATTGTCTTGGGCAAAAGACATTTCGTCACATTGCGTCACAGCCTCGAAGAGCTCATCGACTCATCCTCCATCCATCTTTAGGCTGGAAGCCTGTACCATTCAACCAAACGAATTTGCGTATTCTTGTGGCCAATTAATGAAATTGGACCCTACCTTCGATGCCGAGTCAACACTCGACGCCGAACGGCTGTACCAAGTGAATGGCTGCAGCAAGTGATGCATGTTCGCGTTTGACTGCCTCTTTCAATCGCTGTCATCTGTTTCGGGAACCAAACTTCACACCATCAGCCCTCCCAACTCAGTTTTCAATAACTTTTTGTGCTAAATACGCTGCTTATGCTGATGCCCTGGCAACTGTTCGTATCTGCATTCATTGATGCATGTTCACATCTGACCACCGCCGTCATCACCACTTCACTCAGCAGATTAGACTCCACTTTCTCGATTTCGGTGATCCGGTCTCATGTCCACAACTTGATTTGTATCGGATATATGAGTTGTATTCAGCCTATTTTGTTTAAGGTGATGAAGGACTAGTAGTTGATAGTTCCCACAATGATATGAGTTGAGCTGATGTTTTCCATTTTATTTCACATAGCCTTGCTCTCCCAAGAGGTGTTCTCATCCGAGGTGGACTGCACTTTCAACCCCGCATATGACTTAACAACACCCCAAGTGGGAGTCGAACCATGAGAGTGCAGTATGTAATCTCGACACGTTAACCACTACACCACATTGTCACACTTGCTCTTGGATTGCAGGACAGGTGTGAATTTCAAGGAAGGCCAGGCAGTTTTTTCACACCACATTTCGTAGTGTGATTGTCGATGAGGCAATGTTGTATTTGCTATAGCACTCAACTTCATTACTTATTTTTGGTTTATAAGTAGGCTTTCAGACTACTAGCAGATCATATATAGGATGTGTATTCATCCTATTTCTAAAATAAAACTTGGAAAGCAATGTAATGTGAAGTTCAATGGAAACGTCATGTCTACATTTATCATTGTGGAACAATACAACTACCAGTCTCCTTATAACCCCAAATGAAATATGATGAAGACACCTCATATTCTGACGAATTATGACTTCTGGTTTCGTATTCTGGCTCATCTATAAACATATATGCGTGTGTATCGCCGGGCAAATCGTGTTTCGCATCTCATTACGCAACCGGAAGCCATCATGGAAGCACTGATCAGCCGAATATCGAAACTTCGGTCCCTCAATACAGGTCATTGTCTCACCTTACCTCTCTACACTTTACATTAACTTAGCTGCATAGTCAATCATGTAGTTACGAATTTGAGGTTATAGCCTCATTCACCAGTTAGCGACAAGTCATTTTCCCTTCGAGAGTCCCGATAGAATTCCTAATTATTACGGCCTCCATCATGACAAAGCCAACCATCTGAGCCGATAATTCAGAATATAAATATAATTATCTTCAATATACTAGGCATAGATATGGATACAGATGCATGCATGAGCTCGCCCGTTCTGGCTGTGGATTTCTTTATTAACACGAAGCCGTCGGGATTATCAGACTTTCGTGCTGCAGGTCGGTTTAACGATGTTGGCATTAGTGAGGCTGCGATGGTGGCAGAAAGTAGGCCGATGCATCTTCGTTCTTCCTTAAGTACCATTCAGTCTCTCAAAATCCAGTTTTGTCCATCGGCCTCTTGTCTTCTCCGCCCACCCCATCCCCCTCGTCTGCCGGGTCTAGGTCTCTTCCCGATGCCATCTCGAAAGTTGCTTATTTGGGTCTCTAGTGTTCTTCAGAGCCAATTTGGCCAAGTCCAGATTTTTAATTAACTGAAGCACCCACTGTACTCGCGTCTTCCTCGTTTGGCTCTCTTCTCCGTCTTCAACGTTCCGCTTCATCTCATCAAAAGCTCACACCTCCTCTTCATTCCTCTCACATCTCGCTCCTCCCCCTCTTTTACTGTTGCCTCGGTTCAACTTGCCTCTCTCGTCTCTTTTCTTGACAGTACTCGGGCAGCAATGCCTGCCCCAAAGACCGGGTTTCTGTTAGTCCGAGTAACCACTTTATCTCAGCTCCTTTGCCTCTGTCTCAAAAGTCTGGCCTACCCAATCTGCTGGCCTCACCCACCTTGTCATCGTCGTTGTCGCCGACGAAATAGGCCAATTTGAGGGCCAAACTGAGATAGACTGAGGCTTCATCTGCTCGATGTGGGCGTCCTAACAGCTCAAGACGCCTAAACACGAACAATAAAGCACAACATCGGATCTGATACAAGCAATAAATTGTATTCGCCCAAACCGCAATGATTCCGTCATTAATAGTGGCCTCGATTTACCAGATGCCTCCATGCGAAGATCGAACTCCCGTTCGTCTCATCAATTCGTGAGGTTGGCGAAGACCCACATGGGATTCATACGGAGGTGGGGCAGAAAAGAGGATGCCTTCATTCGAGGTTGTTACTTGGCCTCGAAGGTGCATTCTCGCAGAAACAGAAAAAATCCGCTTCACGGAAAGGTGTCGATAAGGCAAATTCAGATTTGCCAGTATAACCGTCAATGCTACTGGAATCGTAATAAGTAATATCAGTGCTAAAGTGAATTTCCTGATATTACTTTGTCAACCTCGGAAATTTACACTAATGACGATGAAAGAGTCTGGAATTCATCATGTCAGGCC